TTCCCACCTACATCAGCGAAGAGAGACCCAGATTCTAGTCATAGATCCATCACTAACCGGCTGTGGGGCTTTGAGCAAATTTCTCTGGTCTCTGAACCTCGGCCTCCTCACAGTGAGATTGGGCTTGATGAATCCAGGGCCGCTGGTGTCCTGAGTCAGCTGGTCATGCCATGAGAGCTAATCATGTGCCTCTCTCCCGTTCCACGTTCGTGTCGGTAGCTTGAAATGGGCCGCTGTGGAAATATTTATACCACAGAAATTGGCAAACCCTGCAAATCAGAGCTTATTTTTCCCTTCGGAGAGGCAGTTGTTGGCCATTTCCCAGCTCACCACTGTCTAAGACCCACAGAGGATCCTAGTATCCTTGACCATGGCCCCAGCCCTGGACAGGACAGAGCGGAGGCCAGTGGGAGCACACATGTGGCTCCATTCAGTCCGTTGTCAATGTCCAACATCCCAAGCCCTGTGCTGGGGACTGGAAAGGCAGTGATGGGGCAGAGGCTCAGAAAGGTTAAGAGACTTGCCCAAGCTCACCCAGCCTCCGTCCTGGCCCTCGAGGAGCTCATAGTCCAAGGAAAAGGGCAGCCTCTGAAGTCGAGGTGTTTGGGAGCTGGAGCAGGAAGTGCTCACCTGTGCCTGAGGATGTGGGAGACGGCAAAGAAGGAGAAGTTTGTTCGGGAGAGCTAGGGAAGGTGTCCCCGGGAGAGGGAAATGGGTGTGCAAAGGCACGAGGAATGGAGTTCGGGGAATGGCCCATGACTCAGCACGGAGGAATTTGTGTGAGAAGGTGATGAAGGCAGCATGTCGTTCTGAGCTGGAAGTTGGAATATAGAATAAGCAGTGGTGGCTGGGGGCAGTCTAGGAGGGCTTCGTGGAGGAGGTGGACTTGAAGGAAGAATGTTGAAGTACCAGGTACTTGGGATTGTGGGTAAGAAAAAGTTGGGTTCAAGTCCTGGTTCACCACATCCTAGCCATGCAACCTTAGGCAAGTAGCTTAACTTCACTGGGGCTCACTTTCCTCATCTATAAAGTGGGCACAATGGATCTAACCCACCTCACAGAGTTGTTTTAGGAATCCATTGGTATAATATTTATAAAATATGCTTTGCTTTTAGAATGGCCCACAAATGTTGGTGCTGTGTGGGAGGGGGAAGGTAAGGACAAGCCATGCCTGATAGGTGACTGTGGCAAATACCAAGGGGCCAGAATGCAGGTGACTTGTTCTCAGGCCATCAACTAGACAGTGTGGCTGGAAGAGAGTAATCATACTGGACAGGTGTTTATGGGCCCAGTTGTGGAAGGCCTTGAATGTCAGGGTAAGAGATCCAGACCTGATTCTCTAAGCAGGGGGGAGCCATTGATGGTTCTTGAGAAGAGAAATAGCATGATCAGAGCTATACTCGCAGGAGATGGGTTAGTGGACAGAGTGGATCAAAGGACAGAGACCCTGCTGGGAGGGCAGGCGTAGGGAAGTAGGGCCGGAAAAAGCAAAATGTGAGTGCAGGGAGCAGTTAGAAGGAAGATTCGTCTGGGACTCTGACCTGCCTGGCCACAGGGAACAGAGAACCCCAGAGGAAGAAGGGGACTCCCAGGCCTTGCACCCTGGGACGGGGGGCAGGGAGCCGTGGGCTCCTTGACAGAAATGGGAAAGTTTGCAGCCAGGGCTGGTTTCCAGGAAATGACAAAACACTTGGTTTGGCCCCTGGTGAGGGGAAGGACTCGTGGGGTGTCTGTAAAGGTCCACCGGAGCCTGGGGAACTTGGGGAGGCACCCCTTCCTGCTCACCGCTGCTGTGCCCTGCTCTGTGTCCCGGGGAGACAGAAAGGGGATGTTCACGGGTAGCTGGAGGGACAGTCGTGGGATCACGAGAGCCCTTGCAGTAGGTGGCTAAGCAGAATGTGCTGGGGACTGAGGAAGTGGGCCCCAAAGCCCTTCCTGAGCATTGGCCAGGCTTCTCAGGGAGAGCATGGGGAGACAAAGAAACACATGAACCACATTCTATCCCCCACAAGGCACAGAGCCGCAGTCCGGAGGGCCTCTGAATCCTAAACTTAGGGCCAGAGCTGGACCATCCTTGCTGAAAGTCACTGCCCCCGGAAGCAGAGCTTCTGGCCCTTAGAACTATAGACATTTGGGGCTGAGTAAATCTTTATGATAGAGGGTTGTCCTGGGCATCGCAGGTGCCAGTAGCACCCCCACTCTGATGTGACAACCCAAAAGGACTCCAGATACTGCCAAGTGACCCCTGAAGGGCAGAACCACGCTGGCGGAGAACCACTGCTCAAAAGCAAATTTGCTTGCCTGATTGTATCCCTTGGTGAGCTATTAACACAATACCAGGACGAAATCAGTGTTCTAGTAAAATTCAGTAAAAATTCAATCAGCTCTAGGCCGGTGCGTGAGTTATAGGTGCATTCCAAAAGGCACAGGACTGTTTCACATCAGTTCCTAACTCGTAACTCAAACAAGAAAAGAATCTCCTGTAGGCCAGGATTCTAATAATTAAATTATCAGCATGAAAAACATCTCCCGGCACAAAATCTTTCCCCAGGAACTCGTTGGTTGTGTCTCTGGCTTATAAAGGTTTAGGGGAGAGCTTTCTCCAAAACGGATTAATTTTGTGTAGGGACGGGACAGGAATTTTGAAACAAATAACCAGAGAGCCTCGGAACACAGAGCTGCAGGGGTGCCTGGGTTGGCTCAGACAGTTAAGTGTCCGATTCTTGATTTCGGGTCAGGTCATGATCTCATGGTTCATGGTTTTGAGCCCTGCACCAGGCTCTGTGCTGACAGTGCGGAGCCTGCTTGGGATTCTTGCTTTCCCTCTCTCTCTGCCTCTCCCCCCCTCAAAATAAGTAAATAAACATTAAACACACACCTGTGCGCGCGCACACACACACAGAACTGGAATGGGAAGAAGGCATTTCCATGGGAGCATGTGGGAGTGCTATGGGTAAATCCTTAAATCCTTGTATAGAATTCTCACCAAAATCCTATGGGATGTCGTGTAATCTGTGGCACATCATGCATGACTAGAAATACAGGCTCAGAGAGGTCAAGCAGTTAGCCCAGGTCACACAGCTGGTAAGAAGTGCATTGAGGCTCACGCTCTGGGTCCGGCTCTGCTTTTCAGTGCTGTGTGTTACCAACCCCTTCAGCCTGTTTATTTCACAGGTGGGAAAACGGAGGCCCCTTGAGACAGCAGAATAGAGACGTCATAATAGCTCACTTTTCCGTAGCACTTTACAGGTACCAAACACTTTGCTGTTTTGCTCACCTTATTCTCTCAAAAATCCCAAAAGGCCATCAGGGCTCGTGCTGCTGGCCCCATTTTGCAGATGTAGGAACTGAGTGTGGCCAGGAAGCCGGCCACAGGGCACACTGTTTTCTGGGAAACCGACCAAGGATGGGTTGTAAGCAGAAGGGGCCCCCATGGGAGAGACATCGTCAGAGGCCCCCGCGGTGCCAGCACTGTACCGTGGGGAGCATGGAGGACATAGGAGGAGCGCGCTGGCCTGTGCTGGAGAGGCGTGGACACACGGAGCCCACGGAAGCGCGGCTCGATCGTGCCTCCCGGCACCCAGGGGTGGACGGCCTGTGCAGGCATGGGCAGCGGGACACAGGGCCTCCGGAGGGGCTGCTAAACTCAACACTGAGCTTCCACTCTTCTCAAACCTCTGTCACACCATCTCCTTTACTCACATCTTTCTGGTCCCTCCTGGAATCCAGAAAAAATCAGATCTTATTACCTGGGCAGGTGACACCCAAGGAATAGGGTGGTTAGTACGAGGGCCTAAGTGAATGAATGAATGAATGAATGAATGAGCGAGTGGGTGGGCTCTTATGAGCAAGACTCCTCCTGGGGCGCCTGAGGGGCTCAGTCAGTTAAGCATCCGACATCGGCTCAGGTCATGATCTTACAGCTTGTGGGTTCGAGCCCCGCATGGGGCTCTGTGCTGACAGCTCGGAGCCTGGAGCCTGCTTCCGATTCTGTGTCTCCCTCTCTCTCTCCCTCCCCCACTCACGCTCTCTCTCTCCCTTCAAAAATATATAAACATTAAAAAAAAGAGGGGGGGGGAATGCCAATGTGCCAACTGAGGGACTCCAGGGGATTCTGTCCTTGTAGGAATTCTTCCCTCCACATCCAGCCCGTGCCTTTGTATTGCCAGTCAGTCACCAGAGCCATCCCGGAGCCCAACAGGGGAGGCATCTCATAGGCCCACTGTCCACCCTTGTCTCTGCCCCAAAGCATCTATTATTGTCAAGATCCTCTGAGCCATGAGAACATCTCCCACAAAAGCAGAAGTGATGAGTTATTCCTTTCAGAGGTATTTACGTGTTAAAAGAACCCCTCAGGACAGGGCCCTGCTTAACCCAATACAGTGAAGGTTGAATGGTGGGATTTCCAACCACGTAGTACTGATTGAGGGAGGGCTTTCTGTTTTGCAGATGCAGAGGGAGATGTGGTTAAAAGGGACAGGGGACCCTCCCGAATACATCACTGTTAGACAGCTGCTTCTGGATGGCTTCCTGAATAAGTGTGACATGAACTTGACTGTCAAGCAAGCAGCGAGGGTGGGAGGCACCTGGCTGGCTCTGTCGGTGGAGGGTGCAACTCGTTCTCAGGGTTGTGAGTTCGAGCCCCACGTTGGGTATAGAGATTACTTTAGGGATAAAAATCTTAAAAAAAAAAAAAAAAGTTAGCAGCCAGGGGCATTGAGGGGGAAGAGCTGGGGAAGAGGGAGGGGCTGGGACTTGACCACTCCAGTGGAGGGTGGCTCTCTCAGTTCCTTCTTCCTAACCCTGGGCTGTGTCTCAGACATCCCTGAGAAGGCTGGTCCCAGGTTGCCCCTGTCCTGAGTCCTGAGAAGGCTGCAAGGTTCCTCTTCCAGGGGAGACCAGCCCCCACCCAGCGAACCGCTGTCCTCTTCCCGAGGGCAGAGAATGGCTCACAAGGAGAACCTCACACTCACTACTTTCTGCATCCTTTCTCCTCCCAGGGAAGCCCTATGGGGCAGACGACTTCCTGCCCGTGCTCATGTACGTCCTGGCCCGCAGCAACCTCACGGAGATGCTCCTCAACGTGGAGTACATGATGGAGCTCATGGACCCTGCCCTGCAGCTGGGCGAGGGTGAGTCCCCACCCCAGGCCCCTCTCCAGGCCGCCAGGGTCCGCTGCACGGCCCAACAAGCAACTTCCCGGATGCCAGATTCCACTGAGCCCCGAGGACAAGACACAGGGCCTGGACACGGGCCCTGGCCTGCGGGAGCTCACAGACCAGCAGGGGAGCTGGGCCAGTAAAGAGACCCTGTCACCACTGCTTGACGGATGCTGGAATGATGGGAAGTCCACAGTGTATAGGCGCGTGGTGCCCAGGCTGTGCAGTCAGGGAGGGCTTCCAGGAGGAGCTGATACCTGAGCTGAGTGTTGAAGGCTGGAGAGGAGCCAGACCATGAAAGAAGTGGGAGAGCCATTCTTCACAGAGGGAACAGCATTTGCTGGTAGCATAAAAGTTAAGGCTGAATCAGTGGGTGGACCCATCAAGGGAAGGAGTCTGAGCAGGGAATAATGATCAGTTCTTAGACTGATCCCAGGGGTGGCCCTGGGAACTGTTGGCCCCCTCCTCGTTCAGCCGTGGCCAGGTCCTGTGTCCATGAGAGAAGGTTGATGCTGGGACATGGAACCTGCACTCCCGAATAGGATGATGGCAGAGGTGTGTTTGCTCACCCCATGCTCAGTTTCCCTTCCCCTTTCCTCCTTCCCACCACTTCCCCCCCACCCACTTTGCCTTGGCCACTCCTCCACCAACAATCCTTGAGGTGCAGACAGCCCAGATATCAGCTCTGACACATCAGCCACAAAGGACGAAGTGAGACTCTCGGGGCCCGAGTGTCCTCTTTGGGCCTTGTGGTTCTTGAGATAAGCTGGCCCACTTTACATCTGTTTGCATTTTTAGCGTGTGTTGGCCTCTGGGGTGACAGTGTGACATGGGTGGTTCTGTGAGTTCTTGGAAACTCAGGGGAGCGTGTAAAGCCTTGAAGTTTGCTGTCCCGTATAACTTTGACTAGGGCCCTGGGACCTCCGGAACTATTTTTTCTCCTCTTCAGTTAAAAATGTTCTGCAGTTAACCCTGTGTCGGGCTCCACTCTGGGCATGGAGGCTGCTTAAGATTCTCTCTCTCCCTTTCCCTCTGCCCCTCCCCCACTCGTGTGTGTGTGCACTTGCATGGGTTCTCTCTCTCCCCCCCCCTCTCTCTCTCTCTCCTCTCGAAAAAAATTCTGCAGTTGTAACAACCTGTCTTCCAGAGGGTGTAGGAATTCAGTGGAAGCCAGGCTTCCTTAGGCAGTGCTTATCTGCTGTCCAGTACATCCATCCATCCCTCCATCATCCACCCACCCATCTGTCTAATCTATCCATCCATCCTTCCATCCATCTATCCACCATCCACCTATCCATCCACTCACCCGTCCACCCATCCATCCATCATCCACCCACCCATCATCCACCCACCCATCTGTCTATCCATCCATCCATCATCCATCCACCCATCTATTCTGTCTATCTATCTATCTATCTATCTATCTATCTATCTATCTATCCATCCATCCATCCATCCATCCATCCATTCATCTACCCATATACCTACCCACCCACCCATTCATTCATCTACCCATATACCTATGCACCTACCCATCCACCCACCCTTTCTTTCATCCATCCATCCATCCATCCATCCATCCATCCATCCACCAACCCAACTATCCATCTTTCAAATTTTCCACCAAGGGCACTGCTGCTGATGTACGTGGGAAGAAATCACTTACAAATCCTATTAAAGAACTAGCCCCAACCCCATAGGTTTTTCTAGTGTCTTAGAGACAGTGTTGGAGAAAAACACTTGAGGGGTGGAATAATGGAGCTAGACCATGGGGCTCTGCCATGGTCTGAGTCCTGGCTTGCTCTCTAGCAGCGGTCAGCCAAGCCTTGGCCACTATGACTCCTACTCCCTTCTCAGCCTGAATCTTTATGGCCAAAGGAGGCTCCAGGCCAGGCATAGCAGCTGAACAGGGAGAGGGCAGGGACGTCCTTGGCCCAGCTACCCTCTCCTAATGGGCCTGCGATCCCCACCACAATCCTGCCATGGCCTCCTAGGATCCTTCTTTCTATTCCTGAGGCTACCCGGGGTTTGGGTAGGAAAGCAAAGGTCCTTCAGGCGGGAATGCTGGTCTATTCTGGGCTATGTTAAGTGCTTTTGAGACAAGGCAAGTACCAGTAAATACATAAAGGTCTTAGTTTACAGTTTCTGACCCAAGGCTGCCTGAATACCCTGTACCCTGCCCTCTTTCAAACTGAAGTAGTCAGTCTCTGGCTCCATGGGAAGATTTCTTTTTTTTAGAACCTAGATCCTTTTTTTTTTAATGTTTATTTTTTTATTTTTGAGAGAGAGCGAGCACAAACTGGGGAGAGACAGAGAGGGAGAGGGAGACACAGAATCTGAGGCAGGCTCCAGGCTCTGAGCTATCAGCACAGAGCCCAACGCGGGGCTCGAACCCACGAACCCTGAGCTGAAGTCAGATGCTTACCCAGTGGAGCCACCCAGGCACCCCCATGTGGGAAGATTTCTAAGGAATCCTTGAGGTGTTTGCTGGAAGTAGAGAGGCGGGCAGGGCACACACAGCCTTGCCATGCACTGTATACGGCCCCTCCCAGCATCCCTTCCCGGCCCCCACCAACATTGGTGATAGAGCCTGCCCATGGCAGCTCTGAGGCCCAGAGGACCAACTTTACATCATGCTGCATACACCAAGAGGCCTCCCTGTGCCTCTCTCTGTTCCTACTCTGATAGTCAAGGTGGGAAGTCCCAGCACCCAGGACAGGCCCAGCCTCATAGGCGAGGCCTCCGGTAGTGAGATGATGTGGGTGTCTTCAGCTTGGGCCGGGGAGTCCACCCTTCAAGTCTGACAGCCAGCAGACCTTCATCTAGAAGTAACTGGGCCGAGGGGCAGAGGGACAGAGCACGAGGGGGACAGCGTTCCTGCGTTTCCCCAGCTTTGCAGCCTGTCCTGACTGGCTGGTATGGCACACAGGGTGCTCCGTTCCCAAAGCCCCTGAGGCTCAGATACAAAGAAGAGCCTGCCTTACAGGGGGGTGGGTGCTCTGAGGAGCTCAGAGATGCCTGGGACGGGGCAGGCTCTCAGGGAGCCCCCACTCTAGAGAACGTCAGTTCCTCCATCTTAAGAGGAGAACTAATACCAGTGTAGTAAAAAGAACGGTTTGCAGGCTGGATTTCGGCCCCGGTTCTGCCTCTGATTGGCTGGAGACCTTGGACAAGTCCCGTAACGTCTCTGGCTTGGGAAAGCACATGTGCTGGGCTAGATGTGGGGTTTTCACACTGTCTGGGTGCCCCAGCATCCTGCATTCAACCAAAGGCCTTGAGAGTCTGACTGCATTCTTTGACACCCTCATGTTCTTCCAGCTGGTTCTGAGTGCTGCTAATTTGGTAAAAAGACCAGTTATTGGGTCCTGCTTTCGTTGAAGCAGGCTTATCAGGCATGAGAGATCAGGGACTTCCTATAAGAAGTAGAGAGCACCTGAACATTGGGCTGATCGGATCCCAGCCTCCTTCTAGCCTCTCTCTCTGCAGCTCCCACAAATCTGGGCAAATACGGGCAGACGGGAGACCCTGGCAGCTGCTGTGCACCTGGCTGGAGCCAGCTCAAAATCCAAACCTCTTCTAGAAGCACCCCCATGGTCACCTTTGCCCACATCCCCTCTGCACTGATTGACATCTGGCCATGCTGTGCCAATATCTTTTTTTTTATTAAAAAATTTTTTTGGGGGGGCGCCTGGGTGGCTCACTCAGTTGGGCATCCGACTTCGGCTCAGGTCATGATCTCGCGGTCCATGAGTTCGAGCCCCGCATCGGGCTCTGGGCTGACAGCTCAGAGCCTGGAGCCTGTTTCGGATTCTGTGTTTCCCTCTCTCTCTGACCCTCCCCTACTCATGCTCTGTCTCTCTCTGTCTCAAAAATAAATTAAAAAAAATTTTTTTTTAATTTTTTTAAACATTTTTAACATTTAATATTTTAACATTTTTTTTTTAATTTTAAAAAATTTTTAACATTTATTCATTTTTGAGAGACAGAGTGTGAGTGGGGGAGGGACAGAGAGAGAGGGAGACAGAATCCTAAGCAGGCTCTATGCTCTGAGCCGTCAGCACAGGGCTTGATCTCACGGACCATGAGATCATGACCTGAGGTGAAGGTGGACGCTTAATCAACTGAGCCACCAAGGTGCCCCTGTTTAAATATCTTAAAAGGGGTAGTGAGTTTTCTCCATCAAAGGACAACACTCTCCCCAAAGGGAACAACCAGCTCCCAAACTCACAGTGGGAGGGGTTGCCTGCCACCTAGTGGTCCTGGCAGGCACTGCATGGCATGGCCCCAAGTCAAGGGGAAGTTGTCTGGGAGAAGGTGAGAAGCCTCTAGAGCATCTCCCTTAGGTCACCTAACTACCTACATTACTCACATTCGATTAAGCCCTGCACTCGACAGTATTCATCTCATTTACTTTTTACAACATTCTGGGAAAAGTAAATGAGGAAACTGAGGCATAGAGAGGACAGTAATTCCCCCGAGATCACAGGGCTGGCTGCTGAAGGGCACAGACCTGGACTGTGCTCTCTGACTCCAAACCTGAACGCTCCCAGTCAGTGCACTGCACTCAGCTCCTCCGTTACTAGCCAGGGAGACATGATCACTGGTGGGGACAGTGCCTTGGAGGCATGCCAGCTAGAGGAGATGGGCTCTCAGGGCAGCGAGGGCTGGGGCCCCAAGGAAGGGTGCCCGGCACAGTTGGCTTTAAGCTCAACTACAAAGGGATGCGCATGCCTGGTTTATTGGCTCTTCTCTGATACGTGATGCCAGCCCAAGTTCTGTGTTCGCCGTGACATTAGCTCACAACCTCCCCAGCCAGGGTGTGGACTTTTTCCATATTGGTGTGGAATTTGTAGACACGTGTTGGCAGCTTCATCCAATGCAACAGGCATGCTTGGGGCTGCAGGTGACTCACGGTGTAATAATAATGGTGTGAATCAGAGTAAGGGGCTGGTTCCTCTCTTCAATCAAGAAGTCCTGGGAGGGCCTCCTGGGCGGCTCTGTGGGTTGAGCTACAGACTTCAGCTCAGGTCATGATCTCAGTTCCTGAGTTCCAGCCCTGCATCCGATCGCCGCTGCCAGGGCAAAGCCCGCTTCCGGTCCTCTGCCTCTCTCTCTCTCTCTCTCTCTCTCTCTCTCTCTCTCTTTGCCCCTCCCCACTCACGCCCCCTCCGGCACGTGCGCTCTCGCTCTCGCGCTCTCTCTCTTTCTCTCTCTCAAAAATAAATAAACATTAAAAAGTTAAATAAGTTCCGTCTGAAAGGGAAGCCAAAGACAATCTTTGAGCAGAGCCTGACAGCTGGGACGGGGTTGGGGAGGGGGAACGCTGGACTTCAGGGAGCATGTGCATTTGCAGGGGTGAGCGCAGGGCTGCAGCTCCGCAGGGGAGGGTGCTGCAGGTGCGCCCCAGGCGGCGGCGGGCGGAGCTTGGAGAAGCGGGCGAGGGGTCCCAGCTCAGCCTCCACACCCTGGTCTCCGCAGGTTCCTACTACCTGACCACCACGTACGGGGCCCTGGAGCACATCAAGAACTACGACAAGATCACGGTGACCCGGCAGCTGAGCATGGAGGTGCAGGACTCCATCCACCGCTGGGAGCGCCGGCGCACGCTCAACAAGGCCCGGGCCTCGCGCTCCTCCGTGCAGGTGATGCGTGGGACTCAGGGTGGGTGGGGGCCGGCGGGACCGTCCCGCGGACGCCAATCCCATGGCCCCCCAGCTCAGGAGCCCGACATCGACGGGATACTTTAGAAAAGTCTCTCCAGGCAGCATCAGTGTTTTAGTTGAGCAGGCAAGACAGGATGGGAGAAATGAGACTTTTGTCCAACACTCCTTAGTGTCTGCAGTGTCCTAATGTCCTAGTGCCCAGCTGGGCCTGGAGATATGGACATAGTCTTGCCAGTCCCACTTTGGGGAGCCCACGGCCTGATCCACGGCCTTGCCCCTTTTGTTTCTGGACAAATGCTGCCAAGGTGCCTCTGCACCTAGCCTGCCCCTCCAATCCAGCCACCATCCCTCCCCACCTCTCTCTAGACACACTCAGTATTCAAGCCATGGACGGCGGGAATCCTGCCTCCTACACTCTCATCACCCCACACACCCCCACGCTGCGTCCAGTCAAGCTGCCCCCGATACCCTGAATGTGCGGAGCTCCACTCCCTGGCACTCAGCCTCTGGCCCCACACTGCTGCCACAGCCTGTCCTCAGTTTCACTGAGAAGTCTTCTTTGAACGACCTCCCCACCCGTCTCCCACTCCCTATGGCCCAGGTTAGATGCCCTCCTCTGTGTTTCTTGCTGCTACTTCCCCCATTATATCCCCATGGCATATATCACACCATGTGACCATCTGTGTATGAAGCCATTGCCCTGGAAGGGAGGGCTCGTGACTCACATGTCTGAGGGGCCCCAAGCCCAGGGCCTGGGACAGATTGGGATAGGGGTGTGTGCAGAATGAAGACATTAAAACATCAGGCCAGGCAGCAATCCAGAGCTGTAAACACTCTACCGTCTCACTCCCTTGGCACCTGGAGCACACTAGACCTGAACCCCACCCCTGGCTTTCAAGATGGCCCCACTGTAACAGATAGAGCCCAGGCCTGGGAGGCAAAAGCCTGGAGGTCTGGACCCAGCTCTGTACTAGCTTGCTATGTGGCCAGGAGCAGTCCCTGCCCCTCTTCGGGACTCAGTGGATCAGATGAGCTCTGCCTCCCAAGTACATGTTCTAGGCTGCCAAGATGATATCCCCCCACCACTTATCAATGGTGTCTTGATAATATTTACCAACTGGCTTCTGGGGAGAAAAAGGGCAGCTCTGATTTTAGCTGCTGTCAGTTTCCATGGTGCAAATACTCCCATCATGGCCAATTTCAATCTACTAACTTGGGATTGCCGAACTTGGAATTGGAAAGAGATGTATGCAATTGGCTTTCTCAAGCTGGATATGAGCCAGCATAAGTTGGTACAGGCGGCCTCCAGCACATCACTGCTCCCCATTCCCTCCTGGAACGCCCGTCTCTCCACCAACTCTGGCAACAGGGGCTCTGCTGGCCCATGTCTGACCATGGCATTGCTCACTTCTTACTTCTACTTTGTAGGTTCCCAGTGCTAAAGCAGGCAGAGCATCAGTGCCTCTCACTGGGGAGGTAAAGCTTGAGAGGCTTGGATGGGGGATGAGGAAGCCCCCCAGCACTATTTCCGGGGTCCAGGGAGGGCACCACCCCCTGCTTCCTCTCAGCACCTCGTCTGCACTCACCACCCTGTAACCATAGTTATCATCACTCTTAAGTTGCGGTCGCCTTGTTCCTGCTCATCATCTTCCCAATGGTCAGACAACTGTACTGCGACCAGCCTTCCACAAGGGGGCAGCCCCTCACACACCGCTTCCTACCTGCCCTCAAAGTGCTGGGGGGAAAGGGGACTCTTCCAGGCGCTGAGCTAGTTTGTCTGCTTCCTCCCAGCCAAGGTTGTAAGGGAATGGTGTCATCCCAGTTTAGAGTTGAGGAAATGGAGGCGCAGAGAGGTCAAGGTCACACAGTGCATGGGAGCAGATTCAAAGCCAGGCAGGAACTCAAGGGCCCATCCTTCCACCATCTGGTTCCTCCTCTGGGGCTCTTGGAAGGTGTAGATGCTGTTCAGGTTTGTGCATGTGTTCCTATACCCAGCCCCACAGGCATCGCCTCACCCTTGCCCGCCTAGCTCGGGCGGTGCCCCTCTCCCTCCGTCCTAAACCCGCCTTCAGGCCCAGCTCCCCTACCCTTTCACTAAGCCCCCCTCCTGCCCCTGCAACGAGGAACCCCCACCCCCCAGGCTGAACTGTTTCCAGCCTTAAGGACTGAACTGTTTCGCCAGCCTTAGTAGCTCCAGCTGCACCGTGAGCTGCTGGTCCTGCGGTCTGCACATTCTATTTTATTTATGCCAGCCTCGGTGCCCCAGCGTCGGGCCTGGGGTGGGAATGCAGGGGGAGCCTCGGGAGGAATTGTTGAGGAATTGAGTGACAGATGAGCCCGCGGACTGGCCACCAGGGGGCGTGCTCACTCCTCATTGCCGAGACCCGCCCCGTCTGACTCCCCCAGAATGGTCAGCCCGTTGGGAGGCGAGGCTCAGAGAGAGAAGGACCTTGCCTTGCGGAGGTCACACGGCAGGGTCAGCCGCAGATGCTCCTACTTCCAACCCCCCGACTTCCAACCCGCCCCTGCAGTCCCCTCTCTGTGTAGAGAGGAGCCGGGGGCCCAGAGAGGGCATTGGACTTGTCCGAGGCCACTCAGCCCCTCGGCGCCTTGCAAGCTCCCAGCGTCGGGGTGGGGGTGAGACGGGATTGAGACGGGATGCCCCCCACCCCGGTGACGCAAGACCCCTCCGTCTCCCTCCCGCAGGACTTCATCTGCGTGTCGTACCTGGAGCCCGAGCGGCAGTCGCGGACGCTGGCGTCGCGGACCGACACGCTGGCCGAGGCGCTGTGCGCTCAGTGCGCGGAGAAATTCGAGGTGCTGCAGCCCCAGGACTACCGGCTCTTCGTGCTGGTCGACGGGCGCTGCTTCCAGCTGGCGGACGAGGCGCTGCCCCACCGCATCAAGGGCTACCTGCTGCGCAGCGAGCCCAAGCGCGACTTCCACTTCGTGTACCGACCCCTGGATGGCGGCGGGGGCGGCGGGGGCCCGCCCTGCCTCGTGGTGCGGGAGCCCAACTTCCTTTGAGGCCAGGGCTCCCCCCGCCCCTCCAGTGGCAGCGTTCAAAGCCTGGCTGGCGCGGAAGCGGGCAGACTGGGCTCCGGCTCGCTCACCAAGCCCCCAACACGTGCATGCAGGAGCCCCCCATCTGAACACGCGCACACTCCCAACGTGGATGGGATGCCCACCTGGCACACTCATTTGCAACATACCGAGCATGCGTAGGCCAACACAGCAGAACAGCTGTGAAGATCCTGTGAGGAGCGTTCGAGGGGCCAAGTTCTTCGTTAGACACAAGGGGAGACTGAGGCTCAGAGAGAAAAGGGACTCTGCAGCCAGCTGCGGCAAACAGAGCCCAAGCCTGGCCCCCTGTTCACTCACAGCCCTTCAGGCTGGTCCTTCTGCTCCAGCCTCAGCCCGCCCAGTCCTGTCTTTTGTGGGAAGGGCTGACTTTCCCCAGGACTGTCCTTAGGAGGAGCGGCCTGGCCACAGCTGCCCACCGCGCCCCCAGGACGGAGCTGGACGTTTTGGCCCCTCCCAGCATCTCAGGAGCATTTCTCAGGGTGTGCGTTGAGACGACCCCCCCATCCCTACACCCCCTACACCGGAGACTGCCCTCAGCTACCAGTGCCCGCAGTGGCCCTCCTGCCCCCAGGTTCTGAGTCCCTCCGGAAGCAGCCAAACACCAGATCCACCAAGTAAAGGCTGGCTCAGCGTCTACAAGGACAAGTTCAGCTTCGGCCACAGGAGAACACTGACAGAGCCCTTTCCCTGGTGGGCACGCCCCAGGGCTGTGGCAATGTGGCCAGAGACGCCGTGTGGGGAGAATTTAATAAAAGCCCTTTTAAAAACGGCATCTTTTTTCCTCAAGAGGCTTGAGCCCTGCTCAGCCGGCCAGACCCCCCCCCCCCCCCCCCCCATGAATGCCTAACTCCCTTCCCAGATGGGGTTCGGAAGACCTCCCCCTCCTTTCTCCCGAAGGCCCTGTCTTTTGACAGAATCTGCAGTGTGCTATCAACCATCCTCAGCTCCCATGGCCGTGGCCCCTGTCTGCCCCTCGGCCTGGTCATCTGTTGCCTCCCCCACCCCACCCTTGGTTCCCGTCATTCCCACCTCTGTATCATTTCAAAAATGATCTCACACCTTCCTGCTTCTGCTTCTTATCCCTGGAATACCATTTCCTGGAGTCACTGGTCAAACTCCTATTCATCCTTCAAAGCCCATCTCCTCTAGGAAGACTCCTCTGACTTCCTAGGCTGGCAAGAGAGTCCTTATACACGTTTCCACAGCCCCCCAGGCTCATCTCCTCACGAGAGATAGCAAACTGCTCTTGTCTGTTGATACTTCTGCTCTGTCCTCCAGATTCCAACCATTCACATCTGTGTCGTCCACGCTGATTAAAAATATGTATCTGTTGAGTGCCTGTTAACTGTCAGCACTCTTCTAGGCCTTGGGAAACAGAGAATAAAACAGACAAAGTTCGGACGGAGCCCCAGCGTGAACGGCATGAGCAGTGTGCCCAGGGAAGGATGGCTGGACTCGCCCGAATTAAACCTCTGGGCATCAGCCGGCTCGTTTAGCCAGTCAACAAACAGCTGTTGGGCTCTGGGCTCTGGCTCCAGGCCAGCCCGGTGTGAGATACAGGATTGCTTCAGGACGCTGCTGGCCGGGAGGACTTTCCAGGCCAGGGGTGAGCGTAGACGGGCAAATGTACAGAAACCGAGGGTAGCCAGGCACGGTCCCAGGTTGCCCCTCCCTCTCCTCCTCCCCCCGCTACAGGATGCAGACACTGTCCCCTTCCTGGGGTTCCAGTCCCCACAGCCCTGAGCTGAGCTTGCGATGCGGCCTTGCGCCCCCAGCGGTAAGGTAAGTGCCCACCGCCTCCGACAAGGCCCGAGGCAGTTGGGGAAAGTAGAGGGGCCTCAACATGGGGTGGGGTTGGGATTCAGAGGGTGGAGTGGGTCCTAGCGCAGCCCTGGGGTCTCATGTCCAGCTCCCAGGAAGGGCAGAAGCAGCCAGAGAGTTGGGCTGACGGGGCCGCCGTAAGATCAGTGCGAGTGTGTGTGTGTGTGGGTGTGTGCAGGGCCCAGCATCCTCAGGCCAATGCCGGGATTCACCCAGGAGAGGCCAGAAGGCAGGAGGGGTGGGGCTGCCCGGACTCCCTGTTGTCTAGATGTCTCTGCCCACAGGGAGGTGTGATCGGACAAGGACAGGGGTGCGGGCCTCATCCAGGGCGTCACACACGCTGAGCCCTCAGGGGAAGCCTGGCACTGGTTAGTGATTCCCCAGCATTCTTTTATTTAATCTGCAAACAACCCCTGCAGGGAGGTATTTGCAGATGAGGACATCGAGGCTCGAAGAAGGGGGCATATGAGTCTGCTTGGGCTGCATAGCAAAATACCACAGACTGGGGGGCGTAAACAACACATTTGTTTTCTCACAGTTCTGGGGGCCGTAAGCCTGAGACCAAGGGGTCAGCAGGATTGAGTTCTTGGCTCACAGATGGCTGCGTCTCGCCGTG